GTGGACAAGGGTTCCTTTGGATGTTGGGTTCTCTAGAACTGATATAGAATCCGCAAGCTATGTGCCCCACATCCACATCCTTCTCCTTCCCTGGTAGCTAACCCTGCTGCCCAGGTAACCTTGCCCTCACAGTGTCTTTTGCAGCTAGAGTCAAACAATTCTGAATGGAACCTATGCAGAAAGGAAATTTGCCACTTCCAAGTCAGACCACGATGCTGCCACTCAATCCCCTCCAGCCCTCTTCCTTTATTGAGCTGGAAAGGTAGCACTGTAGCACTGTACTCCCATTGTTCATCATTTGCTCGAGCGGGCACCAGTAATGTCTCCATTGTAAGACTTATTGTTACTGTTTTTGGCATATCGAATACACCACAGGGAGCTTTCCAGGCTCTGCCATGCAGGCAGGGTACTCTCGGTAACTTGCAGGGCTCTCCAAGAGGGATGGAGAAATCGAACCTGGGTCGGCCGCATGCAAGGCAAATGCCCTATCTGCTGTGCTATCGCTCCAGCCCAAGCTGGAAAGGCAGAGTTGATAACTGAGGTGATCTTAGAAACTAGGGCTGACAATCAGAAGGATCATCAGCCTGGGAACCAGAATGGCTGCAGCAGGGACACCACCACTAACAAAAACCTTCACTTCAGGCCTGTTCTAGAACAATCCTCACAGTCTGAACCACTGTGTTTGGAATCTATTTGTTAGACCATTTTAGTCTATTCCGCGAAGACAAAATCTTCGAAAGTCCAAAAGACATACATGCTGAAACACAGATGGAAGACTTTTGTCATTTAAAAATTATTTCCATTAGTTTTCAAATCTGTTCGTTTGGGGGCCACAGCTGGCTCTGTGCTTCCCTAAGGGGTGCTTCCCTAAGCACTTCCCTCCTGGAGGTGCTTAGGGCATGTAAGGATCGAACTGAAAGAGGTTCAGCCAGGCTGGTCAATGCAAGGCAATCACCCTAGTCCCTGTACTAGCAATGCAGTTCCACAAATATCTTTTAAAAAGATGCAAGAAAATATCTTAAATAAAAAAAGGGAGGGGGGGAGCTGGAGTGATAGCACAGCAGGTAGGGCATTCGCCTTGCACGCGGCCAACCCGGGTTCGATTCCCAGCATCCCATTTGGTCCCCTGAGCACTGCCAGGAGTAATTCCTGAGTGCATGAGCCAGAAGTAACCCCTGTGTATCACCGGGTGTGACCCCAAAAGCAAAAAAAAAAATCTTAATCAAAGATGGAGTAATATTGTGTACAGTGGATAAAGATCTTGCCTTGCATAGGCCCAATATGTGGTGCTAGGGATTGGGTTTAATCCCCAGCACCACATATAGTGCCCCTGAACTCCACCAGGAGTAAACCCTGAGCACTGACCAGTGTGCACCAACCCCCTCGGGGAAAAAAAAATAGAAAAGAAAGCTCTACAACAGACATGAGATGTTAGCCTCTCTCCCCCCAAAATGAAGAAAGAAACTATCTTAACCCTTCCAAGGGTATTCAAACCTCCACTCTCTAATTCATTGCCCCACACTACTGAAGTCTCACCTTCCTCAAACAAATCACCAGGTTGCAAAACTGTTTTTTTGTGGGTGAGAGGCATACCTAAAGGTACCAGAATGTTATTCCCAAACCCGGCAGTGCTCTGGGGACCATATGATGCAAGGGCTCAAGCCCAGGAATGCCACATGCAGAGGTTGTGTTCCAGTGTTTTGAGCCAGCTTCCCTATACCATCCTCCCCCTTGGGGTTCAGCCCCAGCATGAAACTTCTTCTGAGAATGTTCTATGGGCAACCAATACCCACAGATAAAAGGAGAGATGCATGGATTCACTCAATTAGCAGCTAGTTTATCAACCACTCAAGCCAGGGCCACCAGAGTGAGCCTAAACCACATGGCTCCTGTTCCCAGGGACTGAATCAGGGTGGGGTTCACCTGATAGACCAAAAACAATCATTCTCAGGTAGATGAAGGGGGGAAGCACAAGCTGCCTGGCGACACCCACAGAGCCAACTTCTCAGCACAGCATGAAAGCCTCAGGTTCCACTCCAAACCCACCTTCCGGCCCTGCTCTCCAGGGTCTCCTCCTCCCCCACCTCTGGTGACAGGGAACACAGCTGCCATTTCTGAATGAGCCATATACTTCCACTCATCCACACTTGGTATTTTCCCCCAGAGTTAAGAGGCTCTTCCCTCTGTTCTTTAAAACTCTAATTATCCTCAAGGTTCAAATGTCACCACTTCAACCAAACCAACCCCATACAATCCCAAATGAAAATGAATCATTCACTTTCTTGCTGCCTATCAGCCCTTGGTTGGTGTGTCAGATGTCTCAGTCTGTGTCTTGAAGTTAGCTATTTTATTATCTATCCACCCACTCTCCCCAGCTACTCAGTGGGGTACATATACTTGATGGGTTCTTTTGGGCACTCAAGAAAATGCTGTGTTGAATGGGTGCAGGTGAGACATGGGTGACAGAAGAGAAAATCTGCTTTAGGAAGCTGAAGGCATCCTGATGTGACTGTGATCAGTACTCAGCTAGGAAAGCCTCAAGGAGAAAGTAAGCTTTAGGGAGAAAAGGTGAGATATACACATATATATACATATATATATACATATATATATAGCGAGAGAGAGAGAGAGAGAGAGAGAGAGAGAGAGAGAGAGAGAGAGAGAGAGAAGCAGGAGAGGAAAAACCAGAGGTACAAAGAGTTTGTAAAGGACAACGAAGAGATTACTGAGGAAGCAGTGTCTGAATCAGAAACACTTGGTGGTGGGGGGGCACAGAATATTCATGAAAAAAATTATAAAGACCCAACAAAGGTAGGACCTCTCCCCACACACACACACACAGAAAAAGATCCCTTAATAAATAAGGAACTGAGAAAGAAGGCTAAAGGAGCGAGTTAACTAGGATGTCCAATGGAACCTGCATGCAGAACCCAGGCTGGGATAGTGGCTGGAGAAACCGGAAGGGTGGAAGAGGCTGGGCCTGGAGAACAGAGTGAGTACGGAGTTCACAGGGCGGTGACAAGGCTCTCTCCAGGCTGCAGTGCAAGAGGAGAGACTGCCTTGCTTCTGGAGAGATCACACTCAGGAATCAGTACAGTGAAGGCAAGGCTTCCCAGAGGTCAGATCAAAGTAGGATCCTATGGGACAGAGTTACCAGGTGGAACATCAAGTTTAGAAGGGCATTGGCAGTGCCATCGCAATTCCCTGTGTGCAGTGAACATGAAGGGGATGACCCTGGGGGCAACCAGGTCCCCAAGCAGGCTTTGCCCCACCTTTGCCAGCCTCTCTTTGCCCTGTTCTTTTCCTTGCCATAGTTACTCGTGGGAACTCTTTCCAAAGCTCTTCCTTATCCCCATTACCCCTCCACTGCCTGTCAAACTCCCCAATTCTGGGCCGGGTGAGTGTGGGGGTGGACGTTCACAGTGACGCCAGGTCTATGGACCAATTGCTCTGAGCGGACCATGGTCCTGCTGACACAGAGAATCTGTGCTGGGCCGGAACCATCCACATCAGGGCACAAACCAAGGGAAATGTTACAAGGGTCCCAGGGGAAGTACAGGATGGAAAGAACTAGGTTCAGAGAATAAAAAAGAGGGGCCAGAGAAATAGTGCAGGGGGTGGGGCACTGGCCTGGAACACGTGGACCCTGTTTCCATCCCTGGCATGCCATATGACCCCCTAAGCACTAGGAGGACTGATCCCTGAGCACAGAGAGAGGAGTAAGCCCTGAGATCGGCTGTGGCTCAAAAATCCACCAAAAAAAAAAAATGTTTTTAAGAAGTGGGGGGGGGGGGGGGGAAGAGGCTGCAAAACCGAGAGACTTAGAAGCTTTTTTCCACATGGTTGCCACTATAGCAATGGCTCTGGATGAGCTCTTAGGGACCAGTCCCAGAAAACCATTGGAGGTGCAGGAGGAAAATGAGCAACAGCAGGAATTACCGGCTGAGACAGCAGGGGTTAGACATGGAGACCTCCCCTGGGACACGCTGGCCATAAGTACCCAGCATTTTCCTGACCGTGCAGCTGGGGCGGGATGGGCCAAACACACACACACACCATGTGCTTTGTGCAAATTCAGAGCTGCCTTGGGGGGGCGGGGGGGGGGGGGACGGAAGCACAGGATGAAGTGCTAGGGTTGCAGAATTCCTTCCCGGACAGTGACCCCTGACCAAAGTGCTCCAAGAACCGCAAAGGGGTGGAAGGGAAGCCCTGGGACGGCGATGCGCTCCGAAGCAGAGGTTTTCCCGTACTGAGAACCATATTAAGATAAGTCTGTGTGCCTACTTCCAGTCCGGGGATGAAAGAAAGACAGCAAGCCAAAGCAGAGACCCAACAATCCCTCGGGGTGGCAGGATGCCCTGGACCCAACGATCAAGGATTTCGGGACGGTGGGAGGGGAAAGGGCATAAAGTAACAGGTAGGAAAAGTTGGCGAGCCCCCCCCGCCCCCCCGCTCCCCGGTCTTTGTGTGTGGGAATGCGGCGAGGCAGCTTCCAGGGGCGCCTCGGGAAGGGCGACACGGACCTTCGCTGCCGGCAGGACTGAGTGGGGGTGGGGGGGCGCTAGGATGGGCGGCGGTGCTCGGGGCCGCCCGAGACCTCTGGGGGGAGGCGGCGGGGGTTCTCGCCTCCCCACCGGCGGTCGCCGGCGGCCCCACGAGCGCCCATTTCCGCCGCCCAGGTGGGCACCGCGGGCACCTTCCGGGCCGCGAGTTCAAGGTGAGCCGAGCCCGCCCGGCCAACAGGTAGGGCGCGCCGGGCCGCGGCGACCGGCCACTCCCCCCGGCCCGATGCCGGCCGCAGGCGGGCGCCTCGGCCTGGAGCCGGCCCCCGCGCGGCCTCCGGGACTCGCCGCCCGCCCGGCCCCGGCCGCGGGGTCCCCGGCGCCTCCCGGACAGCAGCCCTGCGCGCCCAGGCCGCGCGCGCCCCCGGCCCGCGCCCCGGCCCCCGCCCCGCCGGCCCCCGCCCCGCCGGCTCCCGCCCCCGGCCCGCGGACACTCACCCAGACACGCGAGCGCCAGCAGCAGGGCCCCGGGCGCCGCGCGCCCCATGCTCGCCGCCTGCAGCCCCGGCGCCGCCGCGCCCGCGCCTCGCCCGGGCCGCGCGCCTGCTCCGCGCCCCGCGCCCCGCGTACGTGCGCCCCCCGCCGCCGGGCCCGGGAGCGGCCGAGCCAGCGCCGCCCCGGCCTCCCGGCCGCGAGCGGGAGGAGCCGAGCGCCGCCCGCCCGCCCGCGCCTCCCGCCGGCGCCGGGCCAGCAACAAGCACCAACTTTCCCCGCGCCCCGCTCCAGTGACCGGGCGCAACGGCCGCCGCTCACGGGGGGACGCGGCCGACCCCACGCCCCCTCCGCCTGACTTTGCTCCAGCCTCCCGGAGCTGGCGGTGGAAAGCCGCATGGAGGTGCCACCGCTCCCGCTCGACCCCACGACTCAGCCCCGTGCCCCCAAACCGGGCACGCCTTCCACGCGGGCGCACTGGCCGCCCGGCCCGTTCGCGACACCCGCCCCCCCAGGCCGGCGCGCTCGCCCCGTGGGTCAGCAGAGGGGTCCCTGCTAGACGCGATTCATGGGACGAAAAAGATGGAATGGATTTGAGAGGCCCGGATTCCCACTCCCTGGTGCTGGGGAGGCCTGCTTATTTCGGTGATTCGGTCTTGCCGGGGCAGGACCAGAACCGATCTTTCTGTGGGCGACCCTGGGCCTAACCGCCAACCCCCTTTCCTCAGCCCCCAGGCAGAGAATATAAATAGTCACAGGGCTTCCTTTGGAATGTTCCACCCGCCCCCCACTCAGACTTTAAAGGACCTCCACCCCCACCCCCACCCCCATAATTGGATATTGTGGTTTTGATGTTAATACAAAAGGGCCAGCTTTTGGGAGTGGGGAGAAGGAGGGAGAATTAGCGTTCATTGCTTTAAACACGTCTCCAGTATGAGCCAAATACTTGGCAAAGCCTTCCTGGTGCCCCCCTCACCCCCCCAGCCCCTGCTCCATGGCCTGTCCTGTTGGGGTGGAGCACGGCTCATTGTTAACGGGAAAGTGTCGCAAAGCAGGGAGGGGAACATTGCTTTTACTGGAGTGCAGTATTAACTGCCACTAACAACAGGAAAGACTTAAATTTCTGCCCCTGCTGGTGCAACAATGTACTTTATGCCAGAAATGATTTAACCTGGAACATTGGAGGAGACACGTGGACACTTGTGGAGACATTGGTATTGGAACATTGTACGCCCGAAACTCAATCATGATTAACTTTATAACTATGTAAATTATGGTAGTTCAATTAAAAAAGAATGGTTTAAGCGTGGTCAAGTTTATATCACATATGTAGTAAGATATTTTTTCATTCATTCTCACATCAAGCCTTACTTTCTTTGTGCTGTTTATCTTCCCCTGTAATTTCTGCTTCTCTTCCCAGTTGTGTCCCACTGTTTCTCTAGGACGTTTTCTATCAACCTTGACTCTAAGTCTAAATTCGGCTTCCGGAACTGGTGAAGTTACTGAGAGGAAGAGGCTCAAATTTCAGTCAAAATTTCAGTCCTTCTCAAGCAGAAGCAGCTTGGTGCTTGATCTCCTTTAACACATTCTCTGCACTAAATGTTGAAGCTCCAATGGGGCGGGAAAGATAGTACAGTGGGGAGGGGGCTTGCCTTGCACACAGTTGACCCAGGATCCATCCCTGGCATCCCGTATGGTCCTCTTGATGTCGGTGGGCCCCACGGGTGACTTATGTGAAGTGGGGAGGAGAAAGACAGCCACTTTCTCCTCACCCGCCTCTGCCACCCGGAACCCTGGGTAGGCTAGGACCGGTAAAGTCTGCAGTGAGCACCTGCTCGGCACGGGCCTGAGCCCCGCCAGCCCCACAAGGTGGCCGTCAAGCCACACCTGAAGTCCGCTTGATCTTCTCAGCACGGGAGTTAATCCCCGCCACCCGATTGCTCGGGGAGCCACGGACTCAAGCTGGGGCGAGAATTTGCTCTTTGCAGGAAAGGAGAGACCAGTCCCAAGCCTTACCCGAGGTTTCTGGGGTTCTTGTCTCGCTCGCAGAAAAGAATTTCAGGAGTAGACGAGCAGTGAAGTAACAGGTTTTATTTGGAGGCTTTTGGAGAGGGAGAGGGAGGGATAGGCAGATAAGCGGGGGAATGGAGAGTAAAAGAGAGAGAGAGAGTAACGCGTCCAGAGGGAACGCGGGCTTCTCCGAGGGTGGAGAGAGCCCCAACTGGGCTCTTGAGCTGGCTCTTATAGATCCTTCCGACTCAGAATGTTCTGGAATCTCCTTGGGGCTGGGTCACTGGAGTCAACCGGATTGAAAGCGGGTTCGAGAGTCATCTGACTTGGAATGTCCTGGGGTCTCCTTGGGGCTGGGTTGCTGGAGTCAACCGGACTGAAAGGGGGTTCGAGAATCATCTGACTTGGAATGTCCTGGAATCTCCTTGGGGCTGGGTCGCTGGAGTCAACCGGACTGAAAGGGGGTTCGAGAATCATCTGACTTGGAATGTCCTGGAATCTCCTTGGGGCTGGGTCGCTGGAGTCAACCGGACTGAAAGGGGGTTCTCGGAAAGGAGGAATTTCATGGGGAGGAGGCCCATATTTTCAGGGTCTGGGGATGGTCTTATCAAGTCTTTATTCTCTGTGTCCACAGGGTGGGTCGGTCCTAGAATTCTTCTATGAGACTTTGTTTCACTGCAGAGAGCCTTTCCCTATCTACCTGCCTACATCACTCTGAGCACTGCCAGAACTAATTCTGAAGTGCAGAGCCAGGAGTAATTTCTGAGCATTGTCAGGGGTAGCCTGACAATGGGGTAGCCCCAAAACCAAAACAATTAAATACTGAAATCCTTGTTCCCCAAGCTACTGGGAGGTAGGGAAGTAAGTAGACCCAAGACTGGGATCATAAATCATAAACAGAGTCATCAGATCTGGAGATTTTGTCAATAAGATTGAGCGTTCATGGTGCTGGAAAATGGCCAGGGCCCTTGGGACACAGGGTGGGGTAGGAAGCGGGCACTCTGGTGATTAGAGTGGGTGAAATGATGTATACATAAATTATGTATAAAAAGTATAGTTATCAGTATTGTAAATCCTGGATAAATGAAAATGAAAATGGTAAAAAAAAAAGTAAAAATTTGGGGGGCTGATCTGTGACCTTGTAAGGGAATGTGGGGCTAAGTGACAAATATCAAGTCTGCCCTTATAAGCAAGAGATCTTTCTGTGGTTGCTGTTTATTTTTTTGGTTTGGGGTGACTCCCAGCTTGGTCTATGAGATTGCTCCCGGTGGGGCTCTGTGTGGAGCCTGGGTCTTCTGCATTCCTAACTCATGCTTCTGTCCTGTTGAGCTGTCATCCCCCACCACCCCCAGGGCCATGGTTCCAGCTGCTCACACACAACAGAGCAACAGGGCACCCACGCCCCAGTGAGTACCCCAGCTAGCCTGTGTGAACATGCAGCCAGGGTGATCATGTGTCTGGGAGCACAGCTGCCCCAAGAGAGCGCTGTATCAGAATGTGTGTAAGCACTGCTGGGAGGTGGGTGTGATCCCAGCAAGCACCAAAACTAGGCATGTGCCACCCCCTGCCATTGCAACAGCAGCAACAAAGGGGGTGGTTGGAATGGTGAGTAGTGAATAGAGGGTGTCTGCCAAGTGAGGTAGGTCTCAGTGACAAGGCAGCTGCTGCAGACCAGCAGGAACTGAAGGGTCAGCACCTGGATGCTGGGTTTCCTGCCCCTAGGACTCTGAGTGCTGTATGAGCCTGTTTATTCTGGTGGTAACAAAATCCAAGCAAAACCAAAACACACACACACACACACACACACACACACACACACACACGCATGCACGCAAGCACGCACACACACTTCTTCTATTTCAGGACCAAAGCAATGGGCTAATACTTGTTTGCATGTTTTGTCTTAGAAGTACCCCCTGCAGTGCTCCTGGCTCCCAGCTTGATGCTCAGGCATTGCTCCTGGAAGTGCTCAGAGATCATGCAGTGCCAAGATTCGAACCCAGTCCTCTTGCATATGAAATATGTGCTTAGCCTCTTGAACTAACTCTCTGGCCTGTCTTATTCTCATTTTGTACCTCTCAAGTTCTTACAGAGCCAATGTTTGCTCAACAACATCAACAAAACTAAGCCAGGAACTCCATTTTATTTTTTATTTATTTATTTATTTATAATGTAGGAGTACTGCTATTTATTCAGCCATTGATTAAGCTGGTTGAATTGGGCATGAACTCCACATTACTTTCTTTTTTATTTTTCAGAATGTTAATTTTATTTTATTATTTTATTATTATTTCTTCCCCCCCCTTTTATTGATTTACTGTGAGAAACAGTTACAAAGCTTTCTTGTTTGAGCTTTGGTCATACAATAATCAAACACCCATTCCTTCACCAGTGCACATTTCCACCACCAAAATCCCCAGTATTTACCCCACCACCCCCGTTCCAACTTTTCCCATGCCTGTGTGGCAGACATTTTCCCCCATACTCTCTCTGTGCTTTGGTTATTCAATATTTTGACACCAGTCCCACCACCACTCAAACCTGCCGGAAAAGGCAATGCTAGACGATTTGTTTTGTATTGCTTGTTATGGATAGAGTATAATGTCCAGGAAATTCTGTGTGTTTTTCTTCTGGAAGCTTTAGTTTATCATCTCCCGGTCTTGGCTGTTGATAAGATTACATGGCACCGGGGGCAGTTTGTTGGTGTGACTGCCAAGCTACTGGAAAACTGGGGACTTGGGTGGAGGAGACCCAGTCCCAATTGAAGAGGGCTTGAAGACCTCACAGACTCCATTTTAATCTCTGGCTCTGCATATGGTCCCCTGAACCTGGCCAGGAGTGATCCCTGAACAAAGAGCCAGGAATAAGCCCTGAATACTGCCAGTTGTGGCCAAAACACAAAAACCAAAGAACCTTTTTTGTTTAATAAGTGCAAGTCTGAGAGCATGCTGGGCACATGATAGGTCTTCAATAAAGGTTAAAATAGTGAATTCATATCAGGCAAAGAGTGAGAGCTTATTCATACATGATTTAATGTATGAATAATGTATGAATAATGAGGAAGTTCGTCCTAAAGGCTCCTTAGCAGAAGGACTGAAATGAATGAATCTTG